AAATTACCCACCACCAAAAAAGCTGCTGAAGTGATGTTGCAACATGTGTTTCGGTCGCATGGTTTTCCTAGTGACGGGGTCTTCACCTCTGACATTTTGGTCCAAGTTCTACAGGCTGCTGGGGGCAACTATCATTCTGTCATCTGGGTTTGACCCTAATCCAATGGTCAAACAGGGCGTATTAACCAAGAGATGGAGATGGCCCAACACTGCTGTGCCTCCCGCAAATTCAACTCCTGGTCTTACCAATTATTGTAGATCAGGTATTCCTACACCACCCATTCTGCCACTCGCCTCTCACCTTTCCAATGATGCCGGGGCTACCAGCAAGCCCTTCTCTGAGCAGGTAGGTGAGGCCAGCATCCCCAAAGCCAGGTATCATAGTTGGGGGTCATTGCACGTGGATGCAGGCCTCTCACTTGGTTGCAGGCTGCTCTACCCTCCTGCACTCTTCCTACCCTTACCAACTGTTCACACACATGAAAACTGTTAAACTGCAAGGGCAATGCGTCAACATTTTTACATTTCATTACATTGCATTGCATTGCATTTAGCTGTGTCCGGCAGTGGCTCAGTAAGTAGGGACTTGGACTGAGAGCTGTAGGGTTGCCGGTTCAAGTCCCTGAACAGACCTAAAATATGAAGTGTGGACTGGTACTTGGAGAAGTCCCAGTTCACCGCCCTGCCATGGTGCCCGTGAGCAAGGCACAGGACTCTCCGCTGTCCTGATATCAGTGGGAAGCTCATTCCCCCAATTTGCGGCCAGGATAGCACAAAGTCTTTGTTGAGGTGTACCTCTTGTCCAAGTCCTGGAGGAAGGAAGGACAAGGGGCCTCATTTATAAAGCCTTGCGTAGGATTCACGTGGGAAGGTTGCTTACGTGGGACAAAGCAAATAAATACGCACAGACATTTTCCGATTTATAAAACACTGCGGCGCAGCTTTTGAAAACGCCCCGTATTAATATTCATTTTGACTGACTGCATGAAGAAGATCGCAGGAAATGAGGACAGAACAGCTGGATCCTGGACTACCTCACCAACCGCCCACAGTACGTGAGGACCAGGGAGTGTCAATCAGACACCATCATCAGCAGTACGGGGGCCCCCCAGGGGACGGTGCTGGCACCGTTTCTCTTCACCCACAACACTGCAACCTGTCACCTGCAGAAGTTCTCAAGCTCAACGCAACGAAGAACAAGGAACTGGCGGTGGACTTCAGACGGCGCCAACACTCCCCCCCGACACCAGTGAACATCCAGGGATTGAGATTGTGGAATCTTACAAATACCTGGGCGTTCATCTGAACAATAAACTGGACTGGACTTATAATTCTGCTGCTCTGTACAAGAAGGGACAGAGCAGACTTTTTCTGCTGAGGAGACTGAGGTCTTTTGGGTTGCAGGGGGCACTCCTTCAGACTTTTTACGACTCTGTTGTGGCATCAGCCATTTTCTATGGTGTGGCCTGCTGGGGCAGCAGCATCTCGGCTGCTGACGGGAAGAGACTGAACAGACTGGTAAGGAAGGCCAGCTCTGTCCTGGGGAGTCCTCTGGACACTGTGGAGGTGGTGGGAGACAGGAGAATGGCAGCCAAGCTGTCCTCCCTGCTGGACAATATGTCCCACCCCCTCCAGGACACCCTGTCCTCACTGTACAGCTCCTTCAGCGACAGGCTGCTGCACCCCAGCTGTCGCACGGAGAGATACCGCAGGTCCTTCCTTCCTGCAGCGGTCAGACTATACAACCAGCACAGCCCCTAGTAGACCCCCGCCCCCCCTCCCCTACACACACCACAACACAGACTATATCACCCCTTGCTGCTAAATACCAATCAACTATGTGCAATATGTGCTATATGTGTAATATATATATATATATGCCGTTAATAACTGTAATTTATAACTGGCTGCTAAATCCTAAGAACTGTTACAGGATTTGTATTTTGGAAAGTATTTTTCTTTTACTTTTATTTTTTATATTATATTTGTATTATATCATAACTTAGTACTTTTTTTCTTAACATAGGTAACATTAAGCTGTCTGTGGCTCTTTCCTGCTGTAACGATGCAAATTTCCCCTCTGTGGGACTAATAAAGGTATTCTGATTCTGATTCTGATAAAAAAGACATTTCACACCGTATCAGATTTAGGTTCTTTTGGGGAGGTGGAGACAAATCATATTGTTTGGTGGATGCAGTTTGAACCAGAGTAGCAGCATGAAGGTCAGATCGTCACCAAAATAAATAAATAAGTGATCCGAAAAAAACTGACGAACCTCAGTGGACACACAAGGGGGCAAGACATTTATAAAGCAATAATGGGAATGCTGAATGAAAGAGGGTGCAGCTGCCTTTATTCATAACTGTGCAGCTCTTACACTGCGACTCTGAGGGATCAAGCACAGACACAATAACAATGAAAACTGCTGCATACAGATTATTTTTGTTTTTGCAACCTCGTGTTAAGAATCTTGTTGCAATTGTTTAAAAGTTTGAATGACCGTAATAAACTGACCTTTGTCTTATTGAAAAAATGTGTTTGGACCTTTAAGATTTGTATTTGAGTACCCCTGGTATAAACCATGCTCGTATCTATACAACCTAGAGAAAAGCAAAACGGCGTCAGTTTAAAGTAATTCTGTCCTTCTGTTTATCGCATCATTTATGAGAATACATTTCTTAACAAGAGAACATAATTGAGGGGTGATCAATAACATTTCCGTATTTATTTATTTCTCCAAGTTATGTTTTTGTGTGCACTGAGGAGTCTCAAATAGGCGTTTGTTTAATAATTTTAAGATTGGCTTTAATCAATTTTTGAAAATGAATTCTTCATATATGATACATGAGAGGTAACATTTTATTTATGGTATTATTTCCACATATTTCTCTCCATTCTTCCTTCTGCCAACGGTGTCGCAGTTTCTCGTCTCTCCCGTTTTTGTGCGTACCGCGTACGGATGGGTCAGAGTTTGCTTGGACGACCGCACATTTTCCCGTCAAGTTTGTTTTTTATAAATCGCAAACATTGCTTAGAAACTGGCGTACCCCATCTTTTGAGCGTACGCACCGTTTATAAATGAAGCCCCAGATCCTGCACTGGCTCCCCGTCCGACAACAAATACATTTCAAAATCCTCCTCCTAACCCACAAAGCCCATCAACAACCAGGCCCCCTCCTACCTCACTGCTCCACAACCACACCCCTTCCCGCAGCTTTTGCTCATCAGAAGCCAACCTCCACCTGGGGTGACAGAGCATTCTCCATTGCTGCTCCCACCCTCTGGAACTCACTCCCACAACAAATCAGAGGCTGTACTGACCTTCCCACCTTCAAAACACTGACCAAACCCCCCTTTTTAGACTAGCTTTTAATGTGTGATTGATGACATGTCCTTGTGACAAATGTGGTTTTATTGCTCTATTTTAATTAGACTTTTTTATCTTATCTTGTTTTTTTTTACCTCTGTAAAGCGTCATTGAGCACTTGATAAAGCGCTTGATAAATAAAATGTATTATTAATTATTAATTTGCTCTCATGTTGAGTCAGAACCTGCCTCTTTCTCGGCCCTTGCAATTTCGGCCCCTCTCACCTATAGTTTTGCTTAACCGATGTGAATCATTCCCTCATCAGCCATTGCATATTTACTAGTGCACTTTGTTAGGACACCCTCCATGCCACTATGGGTCTCTTTCAGGTTTCTCTGCTTTTTGGCTCTTTGTGTGACCTCCAATTCAGCCAGGTCTGATGATCCACAGCTGAGCGGCTTGGATAAAAAGCCCAACACCATCCCACACTGGAGCTCACTTTTCTTTTGGACACAGCTGCTACTTAGTTTGATGCATATTTTCACACCCTTACATGTAAATATAACTGATAACTGACGTTCACGTTCATTTTTTTGACGTGGTTTGCATTTGTTTATATTAGTGTTATAGTGCAGCAAGCTTTGTGGATTTTAATTTGTTGGATGAACCGGAGTTGATCCGGAACAAGCGCCCAGATGTTACAGCCTGGCTTAACAGCTAACACGGTTGAGACAAGACGAAATGACATGTAACAATAAAACATATTTATTTACAACATAATATCTAACTATTTAACATCCCCAAGGTAACCTATTTCTCTTTTTTTGTTATGTTAGCATCACAATGATACTTATTTACTTAAGTAGGATAATGACGTTTCTGTTTTTTTCAATTTATTTTATACCTCAATACAAGAAAACGTTGTGAAAGATTTGAGCTAAAGTTTTTTAACCAAACCACATTACTTCAACAACTTTTGTCTTAAGACATTTGTTGTGAATTACATTATTATTATTATTATTAAATTATGAAAATATATGGAAGGAAGCATGCACAATTAATAAGTGTAAATATACGTTAAGCAAACTGTTTGGTATACATAGAGTATTTAACCCTTGTACGGTGTTCGGGTCTGCGGGACCCGTTTTCATTATTTAGCTAAAGAAAAATGAAATGATAAATTATATTTTCAAACCCACACTCAATGGCCTTGGCTCATTTTCTGTGAAGAACATATATCAGAACACATTTTCAATGACCACCCACTGTACCCTACCCCCCTACACATTTACATTACATACAGAGTGTTCGGGACAAATGTAAAAGGGCAAATATTAACCATATATGCTGTTTATATTGCTTGTAATTGGGATGAAGTAAACATCTGTTGAGTATTTTAACATGAAATAGTTTGGTTGTGTTGAATTGAAGCCCAAAAAGGCAGCGGGTCCACCAGACCCACGAACACTGGCTGAGTAACACAAATATGAACACCACACAAGGGTTAAGATGTACATACAAATACAATAAACTGTACATGTACTGCAATGTTAAGGTAAAAGCAAATCATCTACATTTGCAAAAAATACATTGCATGCAAAACCTACGATTCAAATATAGTCTACAAAAAGAAAAATATATAGGTTCATTATTATAGGACTTGTTATTTTCTCAGCCTTGCAAGACAAACGTCATTTAACTTTAAAAGTAATAGCACCAATAACTCTTTTTCTAATTTTAGTCAATTTAAAACCATAAATGAGAGGATTTACGATTGGAGGTATGAGAAGAAATTCTATTGCAATAACGTTTTGAAAGGTTCGAGGTAAATCCTTGGAACCATATCGTATATTCATAATGTCTAAAAGGATAGCCACAAGAAAAGTGATTAAGGAGATTAAATGTGGCACACATGTCTGCATGAATTTAGCTCTGTTTTCTTTAGAATGCACACATGTTTTGATGAGATACATGTAAGACCAGACGATAAATAAACCATGAAATACGTAAATGAGTATCGTAATGTATGCAACTATGTTGTTAACCAAAGTGTCAGCTGGGAAACACGCAAGTTTAACAATAATCCAATTCACACAGAACAGTCTGGCAATATGTGGGCTGCATAACTTTAATCTAGACGTTAGAATAATATTTGTGCCGATAATGCAGAAAGGTGATAAGCAGGAAAAGCATGTCCTTTGTTAATGTACTGTCTCAAATGCAAACTCATGAAAGTTCTAAATATGGAAATGAAAGTTTAATGTTTTAAATTGACATTTAAATAGTGTTATATGTAGTGCAAACCATTTTGTTAACAAGGATCATCTGAAATAGGCACACATAAAAACAACTGTAGATGTACCATTAGCTTAGAGCAGATCATGTATTTAAGCAACAGTATGCCACACGCAAAGTTTATATTTGACAAACTTATTTACAAAAAAAACATATGACTGCATAAGCCTATGCTTATTATCTAAGACAACGTTGATTTCATTTTAAAAGTAATAAAACCCAGAATTCTGTTACGAATTTTGGTCAATTTAAAACCATAAATAAGAGGATTCATAACAGGGGGTATGATGAGGAATTCTATTGCAATAAAGTTTTGAAGCATTTGAGGCAAACCTTTTGCATCTTTGATTCGCATATTCAAAACATCAAAAAGGATAGCCACAAGAAAAGTGATTAAGGAGATTAAGTGTGGCACACATGTCTGCATGAACTTAGCTCTGTTTTCTTTAGAATGCACACATGTTTTGATGAGATACATGTAAGACCAGACGATAAATAAACCATGAAATACGTAAATGAGTAGCGTAATGTATGCAACTATGTTGTTAACCAAAGTGTCAGCTGGGAAACACGCAAGTTTAACAATAATCCAATTCACACAGAACAGTCTGGTAATATGTGGGCTGCATAACTTTAATCTAGACGTTAGAACAATATTTATAGCCATTATGCAGAAAGGTGTTAACCAGGAAAAGCAGACTAACAGTACAACTCTTTGCTTTGACATTATAGAGTTGTACTGCAGGGGTCGACATATAGCCACATATCTGTCGTATGCCATGACTGCAAGAATGGACACATCACTGCAGGCAAATGAGTACATGACCAGAGCCTGAATAAGGCATCCAGAATAAGAGATAACATGAACAGGAGAAAGCAGATCCCAGAGAAACTTGGGGTAGAAACCTGTTGTCCCATAAAGTCCATTCATGCAAAATGTGCACAGTAGAATATACATTGGTTCATGCAGGTTTTTGTCCAAGATGACAGTCACAATCAGAGAAACATTTACCAGCACAATAAAACAGTAACACAGTAAAGTGAGAGCAAAGATATAAGCTTGGTAGTTTTCTGTTTCATTAAAACCTGAAAGAACAAACATAGTTATGAGAGAGATATTATCCATCAGAAAATGTTGTTGAACAAATGTTATAACAGAAAACGTATCAGTCATGGTTAAATAATGTTGTTCCTTCCCCTGTGTTGTCTACCCCCATCCTTAGAGAGAGAAAAGAGCCACCTGATGGTACTTTGTCTCATTTAAACTTCCTTAGAAAACATAATTTGTTCACCTGCTCAGTGCACCTCCATCAGTAACAAGTGTTCCCTCCTCTCACAGTTATTAATAATTAGTCTGACTACAACTTCACATGAGCTGGGAATTCAAACCAGCCAATCAACGATCTGAATGAGCTTTCCTGTCTTTCTGCTTGCTGAATGAGCAATGCAAAAAAAAAAGAATGAAAAAAAAAGAAACAAGTCCCGCAGCTGAAAACTGAGCTTGGGACGCTTCAGTGCGCACGTAACATAGAGATGCATTGTGGGACGTGTAGATTTGGACCCCGTACTTTTTAATATAATTTATGATAATGAAAATGATGACGGGCATCAAATGAGGTGGCGCGAGCCTCAATTTTGACACCTGTGACCTAGATCCTGCAGTGTACCCCAACATCCTTTTGATTTTTGTCGGTGAATATGAAGGAAAAGTTTATTATTTTAATGCTAAATACATTTTATGGGCTTTTTCCCTGTCCCCATCAGTTTGCAATATTGACACACAGCTCCAGTCTCATACCGTTGCTAACCATAAACTGTGTATGTTGCTAACAAGCAGTGGTGAACAAATTACTCAGATCTTGTACTTGAGTAAAAGTAAAAGTACCAGAGTGCAGGAATACTCTGTTTCAAGTAAAAGTCCTGCAGTCAAAATGTTCCTCAAGTAAACTTAGAAAAGTATTGCCTTCCAAACATATTAAAAGTACCAAAAGTAAAAGTCGTCATTATGCGGATCAATTTCAGAATAATATATATTATATGTTTTTATTATAATTATTGATCATTAAAGTGTTCTCAAAGCTGGTAAAGGTGCAGCTAGTTTTAATAATGTTGTATAAAGCAGGGTTGCTTGTGAATTTACTCAGGTGTAACTAAAATCTGATTTAAGAGTTGATTATATTTCACATTATTAAACCAAAGTTGCAAAGTAACTAAAGGTATTACATAAATGTAGTGGAGTAAAAGTACAAAGTAGCAACAAATAGAAATACTCAAGTAAAGTTAAAGTAGCTGTACAGTACAGTACTTGAGTAAATGTACTTAGTTACTTTGCACCACTGCTAACAAGCACACGTGCTGTAGATTTAGCCCCCTTAAACCTCCACTCTGTAACACAGGGGTGTCAAACTCAAGGCCCGTGGGCCAAATCCAGCCCCCGACTTCATTTTATTTGGCCCGCAAGAGCTATGCAAAAAATAGAATACGTTTATTATACGGTTTCATGCCACTTTACAGAAGCACGATGTCCATAAACTACATGTCCCACAATGCATATCATTTTGTGACATGCGCACTGAAGAGACTTGCAATTATTTGCAATTATTTGCCCTAGATTTCTGCTCTCAGACGTAGTTAATTATGAAGTTATTACCCTATCCGATAATAATCCAATGCAGAGGCAATAATGCAATTAAAAAAACTATTGTATATATATATATGTATATTTTTGTAGTCGTAAAGTTACAACCGGCCCTTTGAGTGCAACCTTAATGCTGATGTGGCCCGCGATTAAGTGATTTTCTTATAAATGATATTAAACAACGCATTTAATGGTTGACTTTTACCACAACAGGTTATAGTTTTGTCATCTGTGAACCCAAGATTCTTTAAAATTATTGTTAGAGTCAAATTATTTAAATGATTAAGAACACTGATGCATATAAAATATAAGGTGGAATGAAAAACATTAATATGCAAGTAACTCGATTTTACATTTGATGTTTTAGTATATCTCCTGCTCTTTCATCTTTACAGAGATTCATTTTTATTTTGAAAAGTATGCTTACTAAGATGAAGTAATACCCAGCTTATATGATTTACATTACAAACAAAACAACTGCAGATCATTTTGTTTCATGTAGTTTATTGGATAATATGACATTTTACAGAAGGAAAAGCTCATACACATTACAGTAAATATTATATCAGTTAGTAACATTAATAATCATTCAACAGATAAATGTTTTCCTTAACATCAGATCTTTAAAAATAACATTTACAAATCAATTGTAACATGAACCATCCAGTCATCATGGCAAGAGTGATTGCTGAATAATAATTATAATAAGAATGTGTTATAAACAAAGAATTTAAAGGGGATACATACATCATGTGAGAGGAATAAAAGGTAATTTCTGTGTCAACATGCAGTAGCAGTCCTGTTATACTACATCAACAATAATTTACCTTGTCAACTAAAAATTTGTAACATACACATTTCACAAATAAATGTAGACTCAAAAACATTTCCTTTTAAAATCAAAACAATGCATTCATTTATTTTCAATATATTATATCTTAAAGTTAAACTTTAAACATCCATGACTTAAACACTTAATCCAAGATAAAATCAACATAGTTGCACCTGCAAGGTGAATACAGAACAGCTGGTAAAGCTGCGCCTCTAAGGCTATCGCTATTGGGTTAAGGGCGAAGCAGGATGTAGTCCACGCCCCACTGGTCCGTCCGTTACCAGAAGTACAAAAACACATCTACTCAATTAATAACCCATGCGTAATGGATAGGGCTGTCAGTCGATTAAAATATTTAATCGCGATTAATCGCATGATTGTCCATAGTTAATCGAGATTAATCGCAAATTAATTGCACATATTTTATCTGTTCTAAATGTACCTTAGAGGGATATTTTTCAAGCTTGTAATACTCTTATCAACATATGAGTGGACAAATATGCTTTATATGTTTGTTTATTATCATTTGAACAATGACAAATATTCTCATGAATATTAAACACAACAACCTCTGAACATTACAAATATTCGCCTCAATTCAACCTGGAACCTCTCTCATACAATAATACAATACAAAGTGTGTGTGTGTGTGTGTGTGTGTGTGTGTGTGTGTGTGTGTGTGTGTGTGTGTGTGTGTGTGTGTGTGTGTGTGTGTGTGTGTGTGTGTGTGTGTGTGTGTGTGTGTGTGTGTGTGTCTGTGTGTGTGTGTGAATGTGGAGACACTGTGATGGATCGTTGGAGCTACGTGCAGCTCAAGGCATGCTCGAACGGGAGCTGCCTGGACGCTGTAATCATGTTGCGCGCACTATCCGTGCTGAGTGTGCTGACTTTTCGTACAATGTCCCACTGTCTGGCTACCTGCATAAAGTCAAGTGCTCTGCGCAGTTGTCGGCGAAATGTCGCTCCTCTGTTTTCATTGAAACAGCTCCTTATATCTGTTAGCGCAGCTAGCTAGCACCAGATGCTAACAACAACAACAACACGTAAGGTGTGCCTCGCTCGCGCCACACATACACACACCCTCCCGGTCCTCCCGATGGCCAGTCCGGGCCTGCCGGTGAGCGTGGAAGTGTGGTCTGCCACAAGCGGGCGGCAGGAGCGGGGCTGTCAGCATCAGCTTGTAGATGGTATTTTAAACTCGATGCGCTCTGAAACTACGGAGCGGGGTGGCCGAGGACAAAAAATACACATGCGTTAATCGCGTTAAAATAATTAGTGGCGTTAATTTTTTTAACGCATTAACTTGACAGCCCTAGTAATGGAGCATCACAGTCCCTGGAAATATAGCATTTCAAAATGAATATTCTCTTTGAGGGAATGAAGGTGAATACCTGTCGTTTATAAAAAGTAGAGATCAAAAATCCCACTTGTTAAAACGATAAAAGAGGGAAAAAGGGCAGCTCTCTGAGTGCCGACAGGCAGGAGAGAGGGCACACAGTTGAGTCCCCGACATTACTCACTCTGACAGGACAGTCAGTACTGAGTGTGTAAGAGAGGAATGGGAGACATCCCTCAAATAAAAACGAATAAAAGAACAGGG